GTGCTGGTGGGCTTCCTGTTCGAGAGGACCCTGCTCTTCCTGAACAGCTGTGGTGCCCTAGCGCTGCCACCCCTCCGATGTCGACGCCGTCACCTGGGACTCCTGTTCTGAATCTTGCTGGCCATCCACACTCTACCTCTGCGGAGCATGCACCGCCAGCTGTCTTTGCCGAAAGTATTGCTGCGAGGGCTACGCGCTGGGTCTTGCGCCTGGATGACCCCGAGAGTGGCTGTGCTGACTGGTGGCTGTGGTGCATCCCGTACGTGCGCGCCAAATTAGATGCGATGGAATGGGTGGATTCTTCTGGTTGGAGTGGCACACTCGACGAACTCGCTCGTCATATTTGCTCGGTTGCCTGGGACACTTCTCGTGAGGGGCGCCTTAACATTGTGGCATACCTTCGGTGGCTGAATGAGCCTCGCCACGCCTTGACTCGACACGAGCGATGGGAGGAGGCGGCTGATCGACATTACCAGGCACTTCGTGAGATACGCAGAGAGATGAGGCAATACATGGGACTGGCTGCACCACAACGTGTACGCGACCTCCTTGTGGACAGCGATGGTGTCGAGGTCCTGCCCACCGTTACTTCCAACGGAGCGGTCCGCTACCTTTCTGTACTGGTCTCAACAATGGAATCTGAAGATGGTGATGACGCCGATGGAGATGGGGACGTCGACCCTGCCTCTTTCCTTCTCCAGGTTTCTGCTGCAGGGTGCTCCTCGAGCCCTGCGGCCACTGGCGTTAGATCGCGGAGGTCGACCGCCTCTGATGGAAATAACGGCTCTGGAGTAAGTTGCGAGCCTTTGTCTCGAGTTCGGAGGTCGACCGCCTCTGATGTAAATAAGGGCTCAGGAGTAAGTTGCGAGGTCACGTCTCTTGCTGGCGTCAGTACGCAAAATCCTGGGGGTGGGTGCTCCTCGAGCCCGCCTGCCCAGGTTCCCCGAGTATATTGCGAGCCTGAAGTCTCTACTGGAGTAAACTGTGAGTATGGAGATGCGAGCGGACGATCGTCTGACGCTGATCGAGTGAGTTCATGTGGGAGAATTGCGCCGTCTGGGACAGTTGGGTGGACGTCATCGGTTGAGCCCTCTCGGCTGGTGTCGTGCTCGAGGTCGATGACGCTGTCTACCCCAAGGGCGCAGGCTGAGCTCGGCCAGCTGCGCTTTTCCCCTGCTTCCCCACCCTTCCGCTCCTACCCTCCCCCTAATGTACGGCGTCGCTGCATTTTGGCGACGATCCCAGTCAAGTGTGTTGGCCCCCCTGGCCATCTCACCCATGTGCTCTCTGCTCCTGTCGTGCGCCCTACCATCCCGCTTCGTCTCAGTTCCCCTGTGCATGGCTGGCCGCCAGCTCCAGATTCGCCCATAATCCCTCCTGGCGCTGCTTCTCTGGGCCTTTCCTATCCCTGTCCGTCGCTCGTGAGCTCTGCCCTTGCTACTGCTTGCGCCTCCCCTGCTCCTCTCTCGAGCTGTCATCGCTTCATGCCTCCCGCTACGAATCAAATTGCACCGATTGAAATACTCCGGCCGCCGTGCACACCTACGGCCGCGCCGACTTCGTGGGCAGCTGGAGGTGCGCCCACGCCCACCCGAGGCGCCGCCCCCGCGCCTGGCCGCGTCGGCTAGTGGGACGCGGACCTCCCTCTTTACGCTCGTCTCCTCCTACTCCTCTTCCTTCTTCTCCCCCTCCTCCTCCTCCGTCTCCTCCTCCTTCTCCTCCTCCTTCTCCTTCTCCTCCTCCCCTTCCTCCTCCTCCCGCTCCCCCCCTCGCCGTAGGCTCCGCTCGGTCCTCGCAGGACCAGGCACGATGATCCTCCACAATCCGTGGCTCCAGAGGTTCCGACGCCTTCCTTTGGGTTGGGCGTGTGCTCCTACAGGCGGATTTCGGAAGAAAAACGAAAGAGAGCCCCCCCAAAAAAATTACGCGACCGAGGAAGCCCACATACTTTTGAAACAAGTATGTGGGCTAGTGCGGTTCACGCAGGACACAAAAAATGTTTGTGTCCTGCGTGAACCGCACTACCACTACCACCGCCACCATGCTCTCTGGTGCCCCCTGCGGCCGCGCTCAGAGACCACCTCCTTCGCACCCCCCTATGGTGTCGTGAAACTGCCACGCCTGCAAGGCTTTGCGACAGTGTCGTGCATAGCGGCCGCGCTCAGAGACCACCCCCTGCGCACCCTCTACGGTGTCGAGAAGGTGCCAGGCCTGGTATGCCCTGGACGGCAGGCACACAGCGGCCGCGGATAAGGAGACCACTCCTTGCGCACCCCCTATGGTGTCGAGAAAGCGCCACGCCTGCTGTGCCCCGGACGACCGGCGCGGATAGGGAGACCACCCCCTGCGCACCCCCTATGGTATCGAGAAAGCGCCACGCCTGCTATACCCTGGACGACCGGCGCGGATAGGTAGATCATCCCCTGCGCACCCCCTATGGTATCGAGAAAGCGCCACGCCTGCTATGCCTGGACGACTTGGGCGTGCTGTGTTGTGTTGTGCTGTGCTGTGTTGTGCATTGCTGAGCTGTGCTATGATGTCCTGTGCTGTGCTGTGCTGCGGTCTGCTGTCTGCTGTGCTGTGCTATGCTGTGCTGTGCTGTGCTGCGCAGGTGGTGTCTGTGCGTGTGTCTGTGTGTTTGAAGAGAGGGAGAAGGAGAGGAGGCGGGTGAGGAAGACGCGGGTGCGGCGCGGCATGGAAGAAAACCAGAACCCCACGAAACATGTGGGGAAAAATAATCAAAAATAGTAGAACAATCTGTCCTAACTTATTTTCTAGCCAACAATAGTAGAACAATATTTCCCAGATTATTTTCTCCAATTTTTGAACATTCCTCCGATAGAGGGACATGCCCGACTTAACCTTTCCCTGGGAATACTTTTCACTCCCAGACCCGTTCTTGATGGCCCCAGGGCCCGAAAACGGGCCCCAGAGGCAGACATCGAGGGGGAACGCTGGGATTGAAAATCACATCGTCGGAGATCTGGGTGTGAATCCGGCCATGTACGACTCCAGCTCCCTGCAAGTTGTGACTCGCCACTGGCGTCCCGCTGGAGGGTTCTACTTCTGATGAACAGCAGCAGAAGTGCCCCACAGGGGGGGCCGGGGGAGCCCAGGGACGCCCGGTCCAGAGGCGGTGCGGCAGCCGTTCTCCCGAGATGGCCTGGGAAGTCGTTCAGGAGTTGTGCTCTCGCCGCAGTGCCGCCTACACTCGAAGAAGAAATCGGCATAAACGTCAATTGTTGGCGCTCCGCGCGGATGTCTTGGATCCACGCTGGGCCCCCCCGGCGGCGCCTCCGGCGCCGCCTTTGGCGCGCTCCGCGCGCCAGGGGAGGGGGGTCCAGCGCAGATCCAAGACGTCCGCGCGGAGCGCAACAGTTTATGTTTATAGCGCTGTTTCTTCTTCGAGTGTAGTGGCAGCTCGGCGAGAGCACAGTTTTATGTTCACGCGGAGCGCCAGAAGTTTATGTGTATGCAATTGTTGTGTTTCTTCTAGACACGTGCTGTCTGGATGGCCACGATGCCAGGCTAAAAGCTTACACTGGAGGTGCTCAGGGCCGTGCTCCCGCCCCTGCCCAGAACGTCCCGCTTTCTTTCCCTTCTTGCTGCCATCCACTGGGGTGCTCTGCTGGGGTCCCGGAGCCCCTCGCGTCGCGAAAAAGTCGTGGCGGGAGGTTTTATGCTATTTCGGTTTCCAGGGGCCTTGGCCAGGCCTCAGGACCGTCAAAAAACGACTCAGGATGAAAAACTGGTCCTCGGGGAAAGGGTCCAGACCTTTGGGGGTCACGTCGTAAGAGAATCACGACGTCGGGGGTCTGGGGTAATCCTCGCAACGCGAGGAGGTGGTGGTCTAGCAGCGTGTGCCTCAGCTTCCCAGGACTCCGCCGTGTTTTTTTGGTTTCCATGACATGGGGCTCCAGAGATCTTGACCCTTCCCAGGCCCTCGAGGTGGTGTTTTTTTCCGTGATTCGGCGGCGAGCGAGTGGGGGGGAAGTGAGAAGGAGAAGGCCTTCTCAGAAGGCGGCGGGACTTCTCAGAAGGCCTCCTGCCTTCTGGGGAAGGCTTGGAAAACTTCTCAGAAGTCCCGGGAACTTCCGAGCCTTCTGAGAAGGCCTTCTCCTTCTCACTTCCTCCCTGGGCGCGCCGCCTGATGATTTGGGACTTCCACAGGTTTCGAACCCTTCCCCGGGACTGGCCTTTCGGCCCGACTCGTTTCGCGGTTGGCGGTCCCGTGGCCCGACCCGGGGCCCGCGGCGGCCGACAAACGGGCGGAACACTTGCCGCCGCGATTTTTGCTGCGCGACGCGCGGGGGCCTGGCTTCTTACGTTGCACATTCGAGGGGCCTCGCCTGTCCCCAAACTTCGAAGGTGGATAGACCTCCTACCCTGACACGTCGATTTGTGAATTGGCCGTTTTCGGTTCGCGAGAGGGCGTCGCGGCCGTCATTTTTGCGGGTCCAGGTCCGTCGGTTTAAGTCCCAGACCGTTTTCACTAAGGTGAGGTTTACTAAAGGGAGGTTTGTCCACCGCCGAAAACTCCGTGTCTTTTCTTGCGCCCGACGCGGGCTCGATGCGGAATCGACGCGAATCTGGCGTGGTCTCGACCCGGACCCGACGCGGATGCGGCACGGATCCGACGAGCCCGATATATATATATATATATATATATATATATATATATATGTATGGATTCGGCGCGGTTTCGACGAGGAGGGGGCCGCGACGGGACAGATTGGCCGGTCTGTACAGTGGAGACCCACGCCAAGAAACACCCTGCTTGCCTCCACGGTGCACTGGGTTTCTTGGGTTTCGATGGTTCTGCCGTGGAAAGCGTGACGTCCCCACACTGAAAGTCAATGGACGTCCTGGGGCCAGACCCCAGGCTTTCAGAAACCCAACCCTGAGACTCTCAAGGTTGGGTTTCTTGTGGAAGGTTTCCTGTGGACTGGCCTCCCCTGTACTGGCCACTCTGCCTGCCGATTTGGGGGCGCCTCCACGAGGTGCCCCTCTGAGCGCCCCCCAGCCGCGCGGCGAGCTCGGCCGCGCGCGGCCGGCCGGCCCCTCGGGGGCAGTGCGCAGCTGACGGGCGCCCCGGGCGGGGGGAGGGCTGCCCGCGAGGCGTTGTCGACCGGCTCGAGTCGCCCCTCCTCTCAGATGCCCTGCTATCCAGAGGAGGAAACCGTGCCCATACCCCTACCCTCCGCCCGTTTTCCCCCTCTCTGGGCCTCCTGGGAGGCCCTCGTCGTCACCGCTGGATTCGCTTCGAAATTTTAGTCAGAGCACATCCTGGGAGAGTTCTGTGGAGTAGCTCGGTACTTTTTGGTCCCCCCAGGGACGCCCGTGTTTCGAGTAGGGGATCGACTACAGGATTGATTGACCCCAAGATAGGTCTTGTCCGTAGAATATACGACGAATGCATAGAATGTTCCGTAGACCTACGGAGCATTCTACGTATTTTCGTAGACTCGATGAGACATCGATTTGGGGGCGAATCAATTCTGTAGTCAATCCGCTACTCGAGTGTCCCAGCCACGCGCAGAGGGGAGCAGGGGGAGGGGGGAGGCTTCTCAGCAGGAGGCTTCCCCCCCTGCTTCCTCTGCGCGCCGCCAAATGTTGAGACGCAGCACGTGCCGCACTCAACACTGCCGTGTTGACCCGCTGCGTGTTGGCTCGGCGCGTGTTGGCCCGCGTTCTGGCGAACGTATCGCGCCAGGCCTACGGCTTCAGCCTGCGTGTTGAGCTCCGTGCCGCCACGCTGCGGGCTGCGTGTTGCGCACCGGGCCGGCTGCGGCCTCTTCTGCCCCTCGGATCTCGCGACGGAGAACAAACGGCGTAAATGTACAGCCGGGGCCCTGCAGAAGGAACCCTTTTCGTTGGGGAGGGGCTCGGTGTGCCTTGATTGTTCTACAGTTTGCCTTCTGTTTCCTGAGGTTTTCCATGGGAAATCGAAATTCAACTTCTGGAGAAAAGGGGCCTCGTTCCTTATTTAGGGTTCCTTAGGTCAGCGCCCCGACTGTACAATCTCGGAGCCCCGCGCGGATGTGTTGGTTCGGCGCTGGGCGCCCCCTCCCTGGAACGCGCGGAGGCGCGACGGGGGCCGCGCCGGAAGCGCCGCCAGGGGCTACT